ATCTTCTTTAGATTGCTAACGTAATAGTGGGAGATGAATTTTGATAATATTAAGTATCGTATGCTAAAATATATATTAAATATCTTTATTTATTTTAAAGTTGAATATTTAAACGTTAGATTAATTATGTTGTTATTAGAGAAATTTTTTAATTAATGCTCTTTACACTTTGAAGATGCCTAAAAATATGAAATTTTAATTAATTACAGTATAATAAATAATTTGAAAGATTTGAATAATTATTGTTAAGTTTTAAAATTTAAATAACAATTTAATAAAATTAAATAAGTAGTAACATTAAAGAAATCGTCAAAAGGATACGTAATATGCGTAAAAGCGAACAATAATGGCTACATAATATGCGGAAAAAAATTAAAAGTAAAATTTATGTAATATGCATTAACCATAACACTAAGTCGTGCATCACACGGGCTAAATACTAGTAAGATATTAAGGGGGGTTATTCATTGGGACATTTTGGGGATAATGAGATAATTTTGGGGATTCTATTCCATAGTGTTATTCATTGGGACAATGGAACAAGGATATTACCTTTCTGTGTTATTGATTTTTTAGAACACTAGTGAGACAATTTCACCACTTGGGATAAAATTATCCTACTCATATATAAAATTTTTATCCCAATAGTAAAAATTTACCTCATCCTCCATATTGGAACAATTTTGTTCCACTTTGAAGGTAATTGTGATAATTTTTAAACCTTTTTGTATTATTTAACTAATACATGCTAATTATATTATAAATATGTGACATGATATGTAAAATATAAAATAATAATACATTCAATATATTATATTATATTATATTATATTATATTATCATGCAATAAAAATTAAATATTATTATTGTGACGCCTTTGGTTTCACACAATACTATAGTCTAAGGTGAATCCAAGAATGTCAAACATGCTATGCACCAACACCGTGTAACAACATGTTTCACCATTACAGTTACTATCTCTCTAGTGGAATCAAACAATAGTAGTAGTTACAGAACAGGCAAAAGAATATGATAGTAGTACAATGAACAAGATAAATACAAAAGATATATCCAAATAATCAAATAATCATCATCAGGGCCAATAGAATGAATTAATTCTGAAACTAGAACAAACGTAATACGTCTCAATACAAAGAGTCAAATGAAATACTACTAAGGCAATCAGCCTTTACAAAATGAAACACAAACTCTAATGTTTGAAAATAAGCATCTACCGTGGAGCTCTAAAATAAACTACTAATATAATATAAAAGATGGAAGCTAATATGCATCTCCATTAACCTGCGACTCTTCGTGCGTCTGACTCATCGCCTGAAAGGAGGGAAAACAATGAGCGTCAATGCGCTAGAGAGATCATCTCCACCGTCCCCAGTGGGAAGGGGTAGGAGTGTATAAGAAAATACAAGTTAGTACATATAGATATAAAATCATCTACTCTGAACTAAGTAGTAATTGGTATTTAGAAACCCACAACATGAGAACTAGTACATCGAGCGATATAATCCAAACAAGGAAACCCTCATGTATATACCATGCCTCAAATTGTGAATCGCTACATACCAATTCTAAACCTATGAATGAAAAACAATATACATAAAAGAAATGCTACAAATCCAAACCTCAACCATGATAAGCTATGTCAAAACTTAGACTACCCTCAAGTAGTTGGCACGATCATAAGAAATATCATCCAACATAATCATCTCCATAGAACATGTCATATATGCCAAATCTCAAAAAAAATCATACCCTACTCTCGGATAACTAACATGGAGGATTAGTGCAAACTGTATAAATCTTGACATGAAATAACGATACTATTGTAAGGCCATCACAATATATTGTGTTTACCACCTTACTCAATCGCTCTGCGGAGATAGGTAAATCACCCTATTCCTTAATGATGCATAACAAATGATTGTCTACCGGAGTATAGGCATACTAGCCAAATCCGGGACATACGATCACCCTAGAGTGTGGTCCATCCGCGGTCTCACTGCGGTATCCTAATCAACTCTAAGTGTAGTCCATCCGCAGCCTCATTGCGGTATCCCGACTAACCCACTAAGCATCCACAACTATCATGAAATGCAATATGCATGTCAAATTCTAATATGATTAACACAACATATATTACGTACATTAACGGCTCGTGCAAACGCAACTCAAACGTGTGTCATCGTGTCCACGCATGTGTCTCGATGTGCGGACTCAAACCATCATGTTCACGATCATCTCATGTATTAAGTAAATCAACAAAACAACACATAACAACACAATCGATCAAAGTAACTCTTCGATTAATTGATCAAACGTGCAAAACATGCACATGTGAAAACTGGGCTGGTCGGTCGACCGGTGCCTCAGCGTCGGTCGACCGGCCAGAGGCAGAACTTCAAATTCTACCAGATTGATTCGAGTGTCAAGGGTTTGCTTCTATCTCATAAAATTGAAATATTTCAGATAACACAAATATAAAATTTTGTTTAATGTAATTAGGGTTCACTTTGCTACATCAAACATAATTATTATATCTAGTTGAATAATTACAACACTAACATGTTCGTGTTTGTCAAAATCATCATGAAAACAATTAAATCTTGACAAAAACTCAGATTTAAATTAATTTCAGATCTGAAATACAAATCCAAGAACTCGTTTATAACTTTTTAAAACAAAAAGATTGAATCTTTGTATCATATATTTTAAAAGAACTATCTTTATACTTAAACTAGGTTTTAAGGCCCAATTAAACCAAATATAACTCATTAAAAATTAATTAAAAACATGGATGGGATTGGAAGAGATGAAACTCGTCTGAAATCTCTGCTGCAAAGATACAAAAGTGCAAACAAGTCGTTTCCCCTTACCACACGTTGATGATCTCGCCCTCGTGTCGGTATTTTGCTTCACAAAGCTCTCAAAACTCACAAAAATTTGATCTAGGGTTTTTGAGGGGAGAGAGTGACTGCTAGGGTTCAAAAATATGATAGAAAAAGATAATTTTCGTGAAAAACATAGTTATTTATAGAGGCAAACCCGAAACAAACTCGTTTGACCCAATTCAGGAAACCTAGTCTGACTGGGAAAACGGTCTTCGTATTTTGGCTGTAACTTTCCCGTCTGACCTCGGAATGAGGTGATTTAAGATGCGTTGGAAAACTATGTAAGAGACTTACAACTTTTATCTTTTAAGTTTTTCCAAATTCGAACTTCATCGGTGTGTAATGCACATATACTCTTAACTGGTCGTTTTTTCAGATTTCAATTGCATCAATGTATAATGCATATATACTCTTAATTGGTCTCAAATCAATTACTATCATGCTCCATCATTATTTATTGATATTTATCATAATAAAACACATTTATCACTATTAATCACATTATTTTCAAATTTTACGGGGTTTTACAATTATAGTTTAATTTATGTAAATAATTCATTTTATGATATTTATTATATAATATTATGCAATATCACATACGATATTACATAATAGTACAACATATTTATTATTATATTTTAATAACATATATTATAATATAATATATTATATTAATTATAATTGATATTTTATTATAGTAATTATATTATAGTGTATTAGATTAAACCAATATAATAATATAATATAATATAATATAATATATCACATTAAAATTAATAAATATGTTAGTATATTACATTTAATTATAAAATACTAAGATATTAATATCAAATCATGTTATATGATTATATATATTTATATTTATATAATATAGATAGATATATATTGTACTAAATTAAAAATTTTAGATATTTTTTATATATCATAGTAATTATCATATAATATTATCTATATTTTACTGATAATATAGTATTTAAAATGATATTATATTAAAAAAAATATGATAATAGTTTTGCGGTAAATTTTAACCTATGACTCTATTCTAATATAGTTAATTGAGATATTATATTAATACATTGTTTATATATATATATCAATTATTATTATATATGACATACTATTATAATATAATATAATACTATTAGTTTGAAATAATTATAATATATTAAACTATAACCTGATACCTTTTAATATAATGTTATTTAATTATCTTGTATAAATATATATATAATATATATATATATATATATATATATATATATATATATATATATTATATATATAATATATTAAAAATATTACATTAAGTAAAAAAAATATTATAATATTTTATACAGTACATTATATCTTACGATACTCTAGTAATATATTAATTAAATAATTATATTTAAAGTATTATTATAAATATTGTTTATATATTATATCAATTATTATATAATTAGCATACTAATATAATACAAATAATATAATAATGAAATATTAATTAGTAATTATAGTATAACATATTATATTTTTGTATAAATAAAATAATGTATTATATTAAATATTTATTATTAAAATATTATATTAAATATATTGATTTTATAATATATTAATTATTATATAGTATAGCATGCTAATATAATATAATATAATATAATAATTAATAATATTAATCAGTAATTATTGTGCAACATAGTATATTTTAATTAAAGTAAAATAATGTTTATATTATAATAATATACTAAGTAATATACTAAACTAATTGGATAAGTTAATTTAAAAGTAATTAATAGATAAAATTATATTTTAATAAGATGTCACATCATTAATTATCCTACTTGAATTGTTAAATCAAAGGCTCAAATTGTCCCATTATCCCAATTATCCCACTTTACCACATTCAAAGTATCCCATATAGATAAAAATTATTCCATTGAAACAATCTTCCCACTTGACCTCAATTTGTCCCAACCAATAATCTCGCTACTGTGCAACTTTTAGAAGCTTCAGGGTGTATGTACATCCAAAAGCAAGATAGGGTATTTAAGTGCAAGATAGGGAAACTATAGGTATTTAAGTGCCAATTAGCCTTTCTTATGGAGCCAAAAATTCTGCTCCGTTCTCATCCTCGCCAATCGTTAGAATGGCCTCCCTCTTCTTCTCCCCTACTGGCCCTTCCCATCTCACCCCTCACTTTCTCCAAAATCCCCATCATATCCCCTCCCTCCTCCTTTCTTTTAAACCCCCTCGAACTAAAAAATCCCAAGCCCTAACAATTTGCTCCGCTCTCACCGAATCCAATTCCCCCAAATCCCTCGACGACGATGAAGGCGACATTCTCCCTCTTCTTCAAGAGCTCGCCGTAATCTCATTGTTCAAATATTGTTTCATGTGGAATTTTTAGGGTTAGGGTTTTGATTGGGGATTATTGTTGCAGGAGAGCTTCGATCTTCCTTCGGATTACTTTGGGAAGCTGCCGAGGGATCTGAGGCTAGATGTAAGCTTATTGAGCTGAATGCAGGTTCAAAGATTGATTCTTGGTTATTTATTTGATTATTTTCTTTTGAGTGAAGCTAAATGATGCGGCTTTTGATCTGGCCAACGGAGCTGTGATTGATGAGGTCAGTTTCCTCAATTTTTTATTTCAGTTCAGAATTTGGCCATTCTATGAATCTACTGTAAACCCTAAGGCAGCGTCTGGTTCTTGATGGGATCGGGCCGGGTGGCGGGTTTGTGTTGGGAAAATTAAGCATAAAAACAGATCCAAAGTTGTACAGAACAAACCATACTGGAATGAAAGAAAAGAGCGAAATGTTAGGAACATCGTATTAAAACACTTCAAGTTTGAATTACTTTATAGAAGTGCCAAATCACCCTCTTAACAGAGGACTGGCCTTGAAGAATGCCCCACCTATGGTAGCGTTGGCCCTGCACAGTACTTTCGAGGATGAGACGGCTGCAGTCCAAGAAGCTCTCTCTCCTTGTGAACACGACGACTACTTTTTCAGTTTGTCGGACCGCACACCCGGACAGCGCACCCGAGCCTGNAGCCTGCACGCACGAGCCCGCTCACACGAGCCCACGCACACGAACCCGCACACACGGTCCCGCACACACGGTCCCGCACGCACGTCGCGCTCACACGTGTCCGCTCGCTTGCTAGCATGCTCGCTTATATACCAACACAAGTGTATAATACTAACACATTTGTTATACCATATATAACACGTGTTAATTTGAACCAACTAAAATGCATTCAATTAGTCAATGTGGGACTAAAACTTACATACTACTTATTAAACATATTTTAATTTTTATCTATGGAATCCAATCATTAAATGATATCTTTCCATAAAAGCCCTCTAAGATTTATTTATTTCAACAGTTTGAATACAAAACAAGGTATGTGAGGGAAATGATTGTAGTAATCCGAAAGGGAGGGAATGGAAAGGGAGGGAATGTTATAGAACTAATGTGTCTGGATATAGAGAACTAGACAAAGAGAGGGGTGTACTATGATTTGTTATTGTTTAGAATAGGAATAGGAAGGGAGGGAACTACATGACAAATATGACTTAAATTTTAAGAAAGATCTTTTAAAACTTAATCCCTTCCCTCCCAATCCTTCCACTTTTGGAGGGTTATGAAAATAAAGAAATTTGCTTCTTTGTAATCCTCCTAACCCTTCCCCTTACATTTACTAAAAAAAAAACTCAATACCCCCTCCCAATCCATGCACTTTTTGAGGGTTAGGAAATGAGAAAGTTTCCTTCTTTTTAACGCTCCTAAGTCCTAAATATTCTCCTCACTTACTAAAAAATGTAAACAAACACAAATTTTGGATGATTAGCATTGTAACCTTCTCAACTCTTCTCCCCTCGTAATAAATAACTATCCAAATTCATCCTAAGACTTGACTTGGGGCTGTGAAGCAGACAATCCACCTTAAATTAAGGTGGGCTATCATAGCTTTTTATTTTTACTTCGCTACCATGCACAAACCGTCCCATGTGTTTGTTATGTGACCTCCTAATGAGGCCGAACCCACACAACAATTTCCCTCTCCTGACTATTTGGAGAGGTCAATCCTTGTTAGTTTTACACAGAGATCAAACTTATCAATCCCTGTTAGTTTTACGCAGAGATCAAACTTATCCCTGGGAACGGTCTTCGTCATCATATTGGCAGGATTCTTGTTAGTATGAATCTTCTGCAATAGCATCTGCTTCTCCTCATCCATTACTGCTCGTAAACAGTGATATTCATCTGCAAACAGATGTTGGATGCATGATAACCTTGAAGGACATGCAGCAAATTCCTAATTTGCACCTCAATCTCATATCTAGGCTTGCTTTAGACCAGCTCGACAACGAAAACTACTTTGGCAATAGAAGATGGAAAGTCACCAAAGGATCTTTGGTAGTTCCCAAAGGGAAATCGTCCGGCACACTATACCGAACTCAAGCAAAGGTGTACGGTGATAGCCTTAACACGGTAGAAGACAACTCTTTTCCAAATCTCTAGCACAAAAGGATAGGTCACATGAGCAAGAAGGGCTTACAAATTTCAGCATGGAAGAGACTAATTTCCTTGGCCAAATGTATTGCTCTATACCCATATAATAATTATTTATTTAGCAAATAACATCAAGTTTCATTCAGTAAATCTTCCCAAAGAAAATCTAACGTGTTAGATTTGGTTTATGCTGATGTTTGTAGTCCCATCGAAGAAAAGTCTCTCGGTGGCAATAAGTATTTTATCACTTTTATTAATAATATATACAGAAAATTATGGGTGCATAGCTTGAAAACAAAAGACCAGGTGTTTGAATTTTCAGAAGTTTCATGCTATGATGGAGAGAGAGACCGGGAAGCCTTTGAAGTGTCTCCGCACGGACAATAGAGGTAGGTACACATCCAAGGAGTTTAAAGGCTACTGCTCAAGACATGATATACGGCAAAAACTATACCAAGTACTCTTCAACACAACGGTGTGGCAGAAAGGATGAATCACACCATCATGGAGAGAGTCCGAAGCATGCTAAAGATGGTAAACTTTCAAGGCATTTTGGGGAGAAGCAGTTCACACAACATGCTACTTGATCAACCGATCTTCATCAGCTCCTTTGTCATTCAATACTTCAGAGAGAGTATGGACAAATAAAAATGTTTCTTACTCTCATTTGAAGGTAAAGCTTTTGCACATATTCCAAAGAAGCAGAGGTCGAAGCTTGATGACAAGACGATTACACGCATCTTCATTGGCTATGGATATGAAAATTTTGGGTACAGACTATGAAATCCTATAAGGAAGAAGGTTATCAGAAGCAGAGATGTGGTCTTTCATGAAGGTCAAACAATCGACAAAAAGTCAGATGGTGAGGTTGATGGAGATTCTAACCCCATGACTGTTCCTTCCCCACTAAAGGAAGTTACGATAGGGGGAGATGCACACGATCACGTGCAATGCATGCCAAAGATGGACAACACTGATGGTGTCGGTGATAATAGAGAAGCCGGCGAAGATGAAGATCCGACTCCTCAAGAAGACGAAGGACCTCAGCTCACAAGGTCCGAGAGAGTCCATCAACCATCTATAAGGTATCCCTCTACTGAATACATTTTAGTTACTAACGATGGGGAACCTGAGTGTTTTTAGGAGGCTCAATCTCATAGAGACAAGGATTGTTGGATCCAGGCAATGCAAGAAGAGATGAATTCCTTGCATAAGAAGGATACCTATGAGTTGGTGAGACTTCCTAAGGGTAAAAGAGCGTTGCAGAATAAATAGGTCTTCAAACTAAAGAAAGACGGAGAAAAAACACTGAAGTACAAAGCATGGTTCGTCGTCAAAGGTTTTTGACGGAAGAAAGGAGTTGATTTTGACGAGATTTTCTCTCCAGTTGTGAAGATGACGTCTATGAGGATGGTGCAACCAGAGGGATTCAAGATAAATATATATCAGGTTATCCTAATGCTCCTAAATGGAAATGTAAGATGATACTTAGGAACTTTTCACCTCGATCATGAACAAAGATATGAGATTTAAAAAAATTTCGGATAAAACCTAGATATATATACAATATATTTTTTACTGATTATGTCACCAGATCACAGTCCCTTTACCCATCACCTGAAGCATTCTTTTTGCAATATTACAAGACTCAATAGGAGAAATGTTTGTGTGTTGTCTCAATCAATAATCAATAAAAATAACTAATAGCTAATGCATGCTGATAATGAATTAAGAGCCGTTTTGCCTTCTGACTTTGAGATACGGATACTCTTAGTGGAATTAATTAAACTTTTTTTTCCA